AAATTAAAAATATATAATTTTTTTAATTTTGTAAGTAATTTTTTTGTTAAAAATTAATAAATATATAAAAATATGATTACTCTAATTATTAATGTGATAATATTAATATATTTAAATTAAAAAATTATTAAATTATTAATTATATTTAAATAACATGAATATCATATTATATCATAAAGAATATAATTACTATTATATATACTTTTAATATAAATATATTTAGTTTTTATTTTTGATTAACATTAAAAAAATTATAACTTATAAGATTATTAATTATAATATATTTACCATTGTTTATATAAACTTATAATATATATACTTAAAAAGAGCTTTTAATATTAGAATAGTTTTGGAATCTAACTATTTTTTTAATTTTATGAAATTAAGAAAAAATTATATTTAATTAAATTAATTCATAAAACTATAATTATTAATTGACTTGTAATGTCTTTTAATATATAGTTTATATATTGTGTTAATTTACAAAACTTACAAAAAATATAACTTATAAAATTATTAATTATAATTTATACCTTTGTTTATAACTTATAATATATAAATCTAAAGAGAAATTATGAAATTAGAATAGTTTTGAAATTTAGTTATTTTTTTAAAATTTTATGCAATTAAAGGCAAACTCATATAATTAATTAAATTGATTCATAAAACTATAATTATTAATTAACTTGTGATGTCTTTTAATATATATACTTTATATATATTAAGTTCATTTATGAGGAATATAATTACTATTATATATGTGTTAAAATCTTTTAGTTTACATATATGTACTTTAAATATAAACATATCTACTTTTTATTTTATGTTAATATATAAAAATTATAACTTATAAAACTATTAATTACAGTATATATACCTTTATTTATATGAACTTATAATATATAAATCTAAAAAGAAGTTGTGAGATTATAATAGTTTTGAAACTTAATTATTTTTTTTAATTTCATGTAATTAAGGATAAACTCATAAAATTAATTAAATTAATTAATAAAACTTTGATTATTAATTGACTTGTAATGTTTTTTAATATATTACTTTGTAGACATTGAGTTTGTTTATAACAAATATAATTACTATTATATATATACTAAAATACTTTTAATATATATACATTTTAAACATAAACATATTTACTTTCTATTTTGTGTTAACATTACAAAAATTATAATTTATAAAATTATTA